AAACCTGGGGAGCGTCACTACCGGTTCGACCCCCCCCCGTCCTCGAGAACCAAGGGGGGGTGCGGACAGTGGTGGGGACGGTGGTGGTGGGGACAGTGGTGAGGGGACAGCGGGACAGTGGTGGGGATAGTGGGACAGTGGTGGGGACTGTAGTGGTGGGGACAGTGGTGAGGACAATGGTGGGAACAGTGGGGACAGTGGACAGTGGTGGGGACGGTGGTGGTGGGGACAGTGGTGTGGGGACGGGGAGGTGGAAACAGTGGGACAGTGGAGGCTACAGTGGTGGTGGGGACAGTGGTGAAGGCAGTGGCTAGGACGGCGGTGGGACAATGAGGACAGTGGGGAGACAGTGGGGACAGTGGGACAGTGGGACAGTGTCAGTGGGGACAGTGGTGGGGACAGTGGTGGGACAACAGTGGGACAGACTCAGTGGGACGAGTCAGTGGGACACGGGGGTGGGGACAGTCGGGCAGTGTTGGGGCCAGTGGTTGGGGAGTGGGGAGAGTGGGGACAACCAGTGGTGTGGGACAGTGGTGACAGTTACACAGTGGTGGGAACAGACACAGTGACAGTGTGGGAGCACTGGTGGGGACAGTCGGGACGGTGGTGGAACAGCGGGGACAGTGGTGGTGAGGACAGTGGTGCTGGGAACAACAACAACAACAACAACAACAACAATCATTTAAGACTGGGGACACTCCGTTCTCACCAGTGCCAGGGTTTTCATAGGAGGCGGGCAATACCCCCACTTTGTGGGGGGGCCTTTCAACGCTCTACCAAATTTCCAAACGACTTTTCGCCACGACACGCACACGCGCATTTCCCGCCCTAGAACGTTTCGTTTGACACTTTTTTCGTGTTTTGCGGAAGACAAGGGATTCTTAGGAAATGGGGGGGATTACAACAAAACAACCGGATCTGGATCACATCGTTTTACCTGAGGCTTCCTCACGAAAATGATGAAAATGTAGCTGCGGCCTAGGCGGCGCAGGGGGGGCGCGCACCAGGGGGCCCAACAATAATTATTCTTTAGAATAAATAATGTTCAACAACAACAACAACAACAACAACAACAACAACAACAACAACAACAACAATTACTAGCACGTGGGGACACTCCGTTCTCACCAGTGCCAGGGTTTTCATACGACGCCCGCCAATACCCCCACTTTGTGGGGGGGCCGGTTCAAGCTCTACCACATTTCCAAACGACTCTTCGCCACCACCCACACCCAGCTTCCCGCCCTATGACGTTCGGACACTTCACTTCGTGGCCTGCGGACGACCGTGGCTACTACACTGGCGCATGGGTACAGTGACTTGTTGTGGTAACATTTTCTGGACGCTAGCTTAGTATACGACTTTTCCCCCTGTTCCAACACTGGACACCTGTACTGGTTTTTGGTGGTAACGTGTTCCTGACGCTAGAATAGGAAACCACGGTAAACCAGTACGACGCCGGTACTGTGAAAAAGTTGCTCGCAAAAGCCCGTTTGTCAGAAATGTTTAAATAGTGTTGGGTTTCCTACAAATCCGCAAGAGCGCGCGGGATGAAATTCTGACACTTTTTTGAAAAACCATTGGTTTTTTGATGTTTTTATGTTAAAATCGCTACGAACACTAAGGTTTTGGAAGGATTTCGTCTTGCGCGCGCGAATGTCCACTTTACCTTATTTTTTGCAATGGATTCTTGAAATGTGGTTATGTTAGAACAAGAAATGCCATTTTATAAGGTTTTTTGCAAGGGAAAGCGGGGGGGAACAAAACAACCGAATCCGGACCAACCCGTTTTGCCGGAGATTTCCTCACGAAAATGATGAAAACATGGCTGCGGTCTAGGCGCGGCGAGGGGGCCGTGCACCAGGGGCCCCAACAATAATTATTCTTTAGAAGTAATAATGTTCAACAACAACAACATCAACAACATCAACAACAACAACAACAACAACGATCATATTAATACTGATCGCTCTTATATGCGCGCGCGTCACTCAATATGTAAATCCCAAACCCTCGATACCCACCCTCTTCGTCTTCGGTCATACCCCTTTGGGGGTATATCTTTTTTACTCGCCACGTGTAGTTGGCGCAGCCCCTAAAACAGGAAGAGCAGGGGGAAGGAGGAAGGGAGAGCGAGGAGGAAAAGAGTGGGGGGAGGGAGGGAGGAGGGAAGGGGCAAGGGGGGGAGGATGGATGGAGGACGAAAGAGGTTAGCAGGAGGGGAGGGGGGCAAAAGAGGAGGTAAACAAACGGACGAACCAGACAGACGGGTCGAGCGGCGGACTCTGAGGGGCGGGTCGGGCTGGCGGTGTGAACTGAACCCATGTGAGGTGAGCTCAGCACGCTACCATGCGAGCCACCGTGTTTGGTGTCCTGGGGCCCCTTGGGCGTGTCTTGGGGCTTCCTGGGGGCCTCTTGAGGTCTTGAGGCCTCTTGGGGTCTTCTTGGGTGCCTCGAGGTGCCTCCTGAAGTTCCCGTGTTGTCTGTTCGATGATGTGGCACTTTGTCGAGGCGCCTCCAGCCGTCCCGGGCCTTGTTGGGACAGTCCCGGTGCCCTCGTGGGCGCTTCGGGGGGCTTCCTGGAGGTGTCTTGAGGCCTCTTGGGGCCTCCAAGGGGGCTTCCTGGGGGCCTCTTGGGGGCCTCGTGGGGGCCTCCTGGGTCTCCTGGGGGGATCTTTGGGCGGGGAGCTCGAAATGTCGGTTTCCGCCTCCCCTCTGGGGGCTCTTTTGGGGCGTTCATTGAGCTTTCTGAGGGGGTCTTGGAGGCCTCTTGGGCCGTCTTGTGGGCGTCTTGGTCCGTCTGGGCGCTGTCTTGAGGGCTGCTGAGGCCGTCTTGGGGCGATCGTTGGGGCCTCTTTGGCCGTCTTGGAGCGCCGAGAAGCCGAAAATGCAAAAACTTCAAAAACCTTCGAACACATAAGGAAAATGTATGGTTTTTGACGTTTCCGACTCTCCTGGGAAAGCTCTTGGGGGTCATTCGGGGCGTCTTAGGGGCTCCCTGGGCCGTCGGGACGCCATCTTGAGCGTCTTAGGCCGATCTTTCGGCAACTCGAGGCCTTCGTGAACCATCTCGTGGACCATCTTGGGGCCGTCCGTGCCTCCCGGAAGCGCGTCTGCAGAAATGATGCCGTGTCCTGCCGGACTTCCGCCGTCTTCCGCCGGCGTTCCGCCCGTGGCCGGGGCCATGTCCCGGGGGGTCCCCCCCCCAGACCCCCCCAGGGGGACACACAACGGGAACCCCTCCGCCAGGTCGGGGAAAAATACTGTGTCCGCCGGGGGGGATCAAGAAGAATTATTCTTCAGTATTGAGAGTTCAGCAGGGCTCAGTTGTGAGGGAGGTCCCAGGCGGGAGCGCCGCTCCCGGAGTAATGTGCGAGGAAGTCTCAGGCGGGAGCGCCTCCGCCTGAGTAAACTGCGAGGAAGTCCCAGGCGGGGGCGGGGGTCTGGAGTAATTTGCGAGGAAGTATCAGGCGGGAGCCGTTGTTGTTGTAGTCCGGGGGGCCAACAACACAGTTTGATGCTAAGTTGTGAGGGAGGTCCCAGGCGGGAGCGCCGCTCCCGGAGTAATTTGCGAGGAAGTCTCAGGCGGGAGCGCCTCCGCCTGAGTAAACTGCGAGGAAGTCCCAGGCGGGGGCGGGGGTCCGGAGTAATTTGCGAGGAAGTCTCAGGCGGGAGCGCCTCCGCCTGAGTAAACTGCGAGGAAGTCCCAGGCGGGGGCGGGGGTCCTGAGTAAATTTGGAGGAAGTATCAGGCGGGAGCCGTTGTTGTTGTTGTCCGGGGGGCCAACAACGCAGTTTGATGCCCACGACTTTCCCTTATAAAAAACAGGGTGCGAGCCCCGGAAGGGGCACTTCAATTGAAAAAATACCATGTCCGCCGGAGGGGGGGGATCAACAATAATTATTCTTCAGTAATTAAATTTCAACAACAACAACAACAACAACAACAGTGGGGGATGTGGCGCGGACGGTGGTAGGGACCGGGAGTCGTTTGCTGGCGGTGAGTGGGGGGGGTGGGAAGGGGTTCGAACCGTTAGTGACCCCCTCCGGTTTTCGGGGGGGGGGTGGGGGGTTCGAACCGGTAGTGACCCCCCACGGTTTTCGAGGGGAAGGGGGGGGGGGTTAGGGGAGGGGGGGGGGGGGGTCGGGGGGGGGGAGGGGGGGGTGGGGGGGGGTCCAGCGGGGGGGGAATTTTCGGAGGGGGGGGACCCTCGGGTTCCGGAGGAAAAGGGTGGCAATTTTCAACAGTAAAGCGGCGGTGGATCACGCTCTCTCAATTGTTCCAATGACGAATGAAATGAAACGGTCGGTTGGTTGGGTGGCCGGTTGTCCGGTGGTCCGGTTGGATGGTTCATTCGTTTGGTTGGTCGGTTGGGCGGTTGGTTTGTCAGTTGGTTGGTTGGTTGGTTCGTTGGTCGGTCGGTCGGTTGGTTGTTTGGTTGGTTGGTTGGTTCGTCAGAGGTTCAGTTGATTGGGCGGTTGGTTGTGGTTGGTTGGTCAGCTGTTTGGTTGGTTGGTTGGCCCATCGGTTGGTTGGTCGGTTGGCGGGGTGGATGGAGGCGCGACGCGGGCCCGGCACGGCACATCATCGTTTGGTTGGTTACGTTTTTTTCTTGGTTCCCCAGTGGACTAATTCGTTGGTTGGTTGGTTTGGTGATTGATTGCTTGGCCTATGCATGCCTCGCGATCTTTGCTCCATCATGCGAGGCGATCGCACAGTAGCAGTGGTCACAGGGGGCCCCTGTAGGCACACATAGAGCCGAAAACAGCAGCGGCACGCCTGCATCATCGCTAGCACACAGCAACACGAGCGTGGGAGGGCCTTGCATTTTTAGACACGGATGTTAGTTCACACCCCTCTCACATAAAGACGAGGCTTTGACCAACGCAACATGAAGAAAGGCATGAACCGATGTGTTCTGCCGCATATGAGATTCAAAACCCAGCTGGCATGAGAGAAAGTATGACATCAACGCAAGAACTGAAATCCGAGTTAACCTCTCACTCACGTGTGGCCTCCTGCTCTCCGCCTGAGCTCGCATGCTGCTTCGTCTCGGCTCCGGCTGAGCCTGCCTTGCGCCTTGTCTTAAAGATCGCCGCCTTACGGCCCTTGAACTCCTTCATCTCAGTGCTGGCGTTGATGTTGTACTCGCTGCTGCACAACACCCGCTGGAGGACCTCGTCGTCCAGCGCATCTCCCTTGGTCAAAGGGTCTGCCAGCATCACGCTGGTGTCCACCCACCGTAGCTCATCTCCACCCCGCGCCAGTAGCTGCTTCAGCGCCGCGAGCTCGGTGCCCACACGCTTGTCTTGGGGCGTACCCACGTCCTTGCTCAGGTGGTCCACCACGCTCTTGGCATCGCACATCCACTGTGCATGGATCTCCTTCGTTCGACTCTCCCACTCGGCAATGTGGAACTCGGTGTCGCGGCTCTCGAGCAACACCGACCTGAGCCAATCCGCCATCCCGGTGCCTTTGGCCAGTGCATACGTCTCGGCCGCCAGGGTGTTCCTGCAGACTCGCTTCTCGGCCTGACTCTTCCACTCTATGACGTACATCCTCGTGTTGCCGTTCTCGTCGAGTGCGACCACTCGCCCTTGCTGGCTGCGATAGGGCTCCGCCTTGAGACCTCGCCGTCCTCGCCGTATTGCAGCACGACGTCCTGGACAATCGCATGTGTCGAGTCCGTGCTCACGAACACGCACGCACTCTGCCAGTCAACAAAGCCTCCACGAAGTACGACCTCCCGATCAGCAAACTCGTGTGCCTGCTTTACCGCCTTGTTGCACTCAAACAGGTCATTCACAGTCGGTGACGCAAAAGTTGACTGTCCAGTCGAACTCGCAAAAGATAGATCCGGCCTCGTCTGTCGCTGCAACCATGGTAGACTTCCGTACCGCCCACGTAACATGGAGACCTCGGCCGGGGAACATGCTGCATCCCGTTGTCGTTTCCAGCTCGGGGCGATCTGGATCTGGGTGATGCTCTTGGCGCATTCCTTCTGCCCAATCTCCACAGTCGCGTCGCTGCTCTGCTCGATCGTCTTGCCGCAGTGCTGCAACTTCAGGACCTCGTCCTGGTCAAAATCCACCAGGCTCTGAAGGGTCTTGAGGCTCTCCTCGTAGTCCTTGCCGTAGCCTGCCATTTAGATGTTGTCGATGTGCGTCGTACACATGCCGACCAATTCTCCATCGTGCCGCAGATAGAACAGCGCCAGTTCCAGGACTCTCATCTTCCAGTTGCCGGCGAGGAGACTCTTGTGGGCTTTCTTCCACCACCCGCGCGCGGCGTCGCCCGGGCCATAGAATGGGACGTTCGCACGCAGCAGCGATCCTTCGGGAAGAGAAGCTCCGGGTATGCCACCAGACGGTGGCTTGAGGTAGCTCGCGATCGATGACGCCCCCCTGCAGGTGGGCATTCTTGGCGTCCATCTTGCGTGCCACGCGAGCTGGCCCGTCGCGTCCTCCTCCACCCGATGCCGCCCAGGTCAGTACCATGTGCTGAGCAAGAAGGCTCCCAGTTGGAGCGCCCCGCGGGTAGTCGGAGTCCTTCTCCAGATTGCCCAGCACCACAAGTCTCGCCTTCAGCTTGACGGGCAGGTTGTTCTCGTCCGTGCGCATCGCCTCGCTCTTCCCTGACTCCGGATCCGCCCTACTTTGGGGAAATTCGTAAGTAGGGCTTGGAATTTCCGCCTTACTTTTCAAGCCCCGCTGATTCCAGTTTCCGCCCTACTTTTCTGTTGCTGTTTCCGCCCTACTTCCGTGGATTTCCGTCCTATTTTATGTTGGGTGCAGAACTTTCCGCCCTACTGTTTCGGCTCCTTGTATGTGGATTTCCGACGCAATTTGAAGTTGGGAAAAAAGCCAGAGTAGGGCGGATTTGGAGTCAGGGTTGTCCACGAGTACGAATCGCGTCGGCACCGCCTGCAAAGACCGCGGTAATTCACGGACCTGCTTCGCGTTGAGGATTTCGACCGTATCGTAGAACAACCAACTGCTCCATTCCTTCTTCTTGGCCTCATCAAGCGCCTCCTTCAAGTGCTTCGGGATATCTCGCTCCCTGAGCTCACGGCGTCCAGGCTTACCCTTACGTCTCCCGAGCTGCTTCTCCAGAGTCTTGCTGACGGGCATGCCTTCAGCCTTCGCCGCGTACGCCATCTTGATTTGTCCGCTGCGCTTGGCCAGCAAGCGGATCCACAGCCTGTCACACGCCTCGTGGTTCTGGCCCTCCGCGATGAGCGCCGTCTTGGCTTCCAGCTCTTCCTTGTGCCGTGCTTGTAGGTGTCGACGCCGGGCCAACCAGCACGTGTCCGCAACGAACGAAATCTGCCTCTTCTGGCCACCGATATCGCCCAGTAACAGAGGATGCATCTTACCTTCACCGGTTGAACTCTCGCCCTCTGTGTCCGCCACTGGGGCCTCGCCGCCAGTCGCGTTGGCGTTTGGATCTGCCTGCCGGCGTCCGCGTGCTCCTCGTTCTCCTTGGCCTCCTCGGGGAAGGTCGGCTTCCAGCGCACGTCCGCGTAAGTGACCTTCGTCCGATGCTCAGCACCGACCTCATTCGCCACGTCCCCAGGGATGTTCCAGGCGAGGATATCCTCCGGCGTAGCCCAGCGAAGCTGCTCCGGCGCCGCGAGGATCTGCTGGCCCTGGCAGTTTAACCAGATGCTGTGGCCCCGAGGCCGCCCAGCGTCGCCACTCGGACCGTCGTGGCCAATCACCCTGCGCATGCCGTGCCAGCGGCCGACCGCTGGGTGCTGATTCTTGGCTGGGCGCTGCTTGCGACAGAGAAATGCACGAGACTTCCCGTAGCCGCTCTGGCAATGCGGCGCCAGGACCTCCCATAGGTCCGCGTGCGTCCACTCGCGGGGGCGCGCGCCGGCATGCAGCGCCGCGATCCCGTGGCACGCGTACTTGGAGTCGGAAACCAGCTCCAAGGGGGCCCCAGCCACGCTGACGGCGTGCACAGCCGCGCTGAGCTCCGCGCGCTGCACGGTCTGTGCCCCGCCGACAGGCCCGCTGCAGCGCTGCGACACGCCGTTGGGCCCTTGCAAGCGCACTCCCCAGCCGGCCCGGGTCAGTGGGGTGCTCGCAAGCGCCGTCGCTCCATGCCCGCACTCGGGCCTGCCCGGGGGCAGCGGCAGCGGGGGCGGCGGCAGCTGCTGGTGGGCCAGCGCGGCGAGCGCGGCCAGGCGAGCGTCCGTGGGTAGCACTGCGATTTCGACCCCCAGGGCCAGACGTGCCAGCAGGGTGGCCTCGCATAAGCCGCCCGCCCGCAACTCGGCGCGGCGGACCCCGTGCCACTTGGGACACCTCCAGAAGCGGCGCTCGCGCGTCTCGTCCGCGGCGCCGCAGTGCGGGCAGCGCGAGGGGCGCCCCCACTTCGCGGCCACCGTCTCGGTGACGACGTTGCCCGTGAGGACCGCGCACAGGGCGCCGACCGCGTCTGTCGCGAGCTCCTCGCTTTCCAGCAGGCGTCGGGTGGCCCAGCGGTCGAACCCGTCCGCGACGTGCCCGAAGTCGGCGCGCCGCCAAGCCACCGCGCGAGCTTCGCGCCGTGCCCAAGCGTCCAGCAAGGCCGCGCGGGTGTTCTGAAGGGGGCGGTCGCCCGGCCGCCAGCCGTCGGGGGCCCACGGCACTCCCTGCCAGCATTCGATGTCGCCGCCGAGGCCGAGGTCGAGGTCGGACCGTGCCAACGCCGCGGGGCAACGCCTGGGGGCGGGAAGAGTATCAGTGAGGGAGGTCTCGGGAGGTCCAGGGAGGTTTAGCGAGGTTTAGAGGGGGTCTAGGGAGGCATGAAGGGCGACGGCAGCCGGCGATCGGCGAACGGGAGGCGGCGGCTGGCGGTTGACGCCCGGGCCTTGAGCCGGCATGGTTGGCGCATTTTGGCGCACCACACCACAGAACGCGCCTCCTCCTCCTCCTCCTCCTCCTCCTCCTCCTTCGCACTCCTTCCCCCTCCCTCCTCCTCCTCCTCTTCCTCCTCCTCTCCCTCCTCCTCCTCTTCCTCCTCCTCCTCCTCCTCCTCCTCCTCCTCCTCCTCCTCTTCCCCCTCCTCTTCCTCCTCCTCCTCCTCCTCCTCCTCCTCCTCCTCCTCCTCATCATCATCATCATCATCATCATCATCATCAACAACAACACCAGCATCATCCCTCCTCATCATCATCATCATCATCATCATCATCATCATCATCATCATCATCATCATCATCATCATCACCACCACCACCACCACCACCACCACCACCACCACCACCACACCACCACATCATCATCATCATCATCATCATCATCATCATCATCATCATCATCATCATCATCATCATCATCATCATCATCATTATCAGTATCATCATCATCATCATCATCATCACCACCATCATCATCATCATCATCATCGTCATCATCCTCATCATCATCATCATCATCATAGCGCTGCCGTTTTGCTTAGACCTTTCTAGCAGCGCGGCGCCCCGTTCTACCTGCTAGGGCGGGTGGGACATCCACACAGGCCACACTTCGAACGATGATGTCTTAGCCTCGAAGACGAGGCTCGATGACTTGGCCGCTCGCGCCTGAGGCCACCAGTGCTGAGGGATGGAGATTGCGTTGTGTTCAATACAATCCCCAAGCGCTACCAGTACGCCGCAACCTCTCGGACGTGCTCTCCCACTTCACGACGGCACAGGTGGTCTCTCTCACAGGGACATGTCAAAATGTAAAGCACATTGCTTTTGATCAATCGTTGGACTTCGTAGGGAAACGAGTCGGCAAGTGGCAAGTATGGTAATGGCCGACGGAGGTACTGAAGACGACGGGCAGACGCCGTGCCAGACGCAACGGCACTAACGCCTCGGCAGGTTGCATGATCGCCGTGGATCGCACCATCTTCCCCAACTGTCGACGGGTTCAGAATTGGCAACCACCTGCAGGACTCGGGGGTCGAGGTGGCGCTGTTCGGTATAAATGGAACACTCACTACGACCTGTGCCTCATCAGTGTGTACTTCATGCTCGAGCCTCACGACGAGGTCGGGCGCAGCTGGCGGGCCAAGCTATTACGTTGGATGTCAGATGTCTTGGATAGTCTGCCTGCTCGCTGCACTCCGATATTGATGTGCGACGGGAACTTCCATTGCGGCTACGTGAAGACCGGCAACACTCTGCAGCTCACACCCGTGGGCGATGCTATTGGACATGCAGCACCTGCAGTGGAGACTCCATCGGGTACACTATGGCGTACATTATTGAATCAACATCATCTGGCTCTTTGTAATACTCATGTTCTGGAGGGGGCTGGCCCTACTTTCTTTGGAGCTGGGCAATCACGGACGCGCATCGACTACATCGCTCTCCCCAAGACGGCCACGCATAGAGTCCAGCAGATCAAGGTGTGGTATCGAGACGGCTTCAAACTACAACTTTCAAAATCCACGTGTGCAGCAAGCAAGAACATTGATCATTGCCCGCTGGTTCTGGACTTTCTTTGCAGACAATGGCACGAGGCACCCACAGCAGATACCTTGATATGGGACAGGGATAAGATTATGTCAGACTGGATCCAGAATCAAGACGGCCGCATGCAATTTGAAGAAGAGCTGGAGAATTGGGCGCGACAGGATTGGACACAAAACAATATCCGCACGTGTTGTCTTCGTGGTTTGGTGGATGAGGCTTGGCATCTTCTGCATCATGGCCTTCGCGAGGTAGCTATCCAGAGATACGGGATGCCTGCGAACACCTATCGTCCTTTTCCTGTCGCTGAAGATACCCAGGCTACTCATCAACGTTATAAGGATATCCGAGCGACTCTGTGGCAACGGAGAAGGACACCGAATGCCGACATGAACGACCAACTCGCCGCAGAGTTTGTTCAAGTGCTGAAAAGGCTACGCAAATTACGACGACGAGACTTTCGACGAGCGCAAGACGGCTGGGCAGCTGAACTAGCAGCTGCTGAAGACCAACACCAATGGCGAGATGCATGGCGTCTTAGTCGGAAACTGGCGGGGACACAGTTGGGCCCCAAGAAGCGTAAGTTCTTACTGATCTCTGCTCAGCCACCTACTTGTCAAGAGTGGATTGAACACATGCAACTTCCTGGCGCTGAAGGTGGGATGTCAGCCTCGCTTGTCCTTCGGGGACATGCTGAGCAGCCTCTGGACGTCGCAGGAGTTGTACGTGATATACCTCATGATGCTGATGCGCGCCGTTTCTCTCTTTCGGAATTGGCGCAGCAGCACGCCACCGCCTCTTCAGCTTCGGGCACGGACCTCGTGCCAGGCCGAGTGAGTTGGCAAGTTCTGCAGCAGTTAGTGGAGCAACACGCCGAGGCGCACAGGGACCTCTGGGGCACCGTCAAGAGCCTTACCAGATCTAAAGCACGCAAACAAGTACCCGTCTGGTCGATTCCGAGGGAAGTCTGGCTTATGGGTTTTCGACACCGAGATGTTGATCAAGGTTTTCTTCGAGAGGGACCCTTTCATAATCTGGTTCTGCAGTTTTTCCTGGCTATCCGAAGGACCCGAGAGACCCCAAACATCTGGCATGTGAGCGAAGCTTGTCCCATCCCCAAGGGGAATGGAAAAACTAAATGCAAAGCGGAACGGATCATCCACCTCCTGGACCCCGTAGGCAAGTCTTACCACGGTGCTCTGTGGGCTCGACGTAACGTTCACAATTATCACAACTCAACGGGTTTTAAGACAGGACGTAGGAGGGAGCAGTCTATTTTGCAGATGCGCTGTATGCAGTGGCGCCTTTCCCAGCTCGGCCGTAGTTGGATTGAACCGTTCTACGACATGGCTAACGCCTTCGCCTCCGTCTCCCACCAGGCCCTCGACAGCGTGATCGATGCCGCGCTCGACGTCGACTCGGCTCACATCGTTAAACATCGACATCGACGAGCGATGACATATCTCGGTTCAAACAGTGGGGAATGGGCTCTCTTGGATCTGGGGTGCGGGGGCCTCCAGGGCGACGCCGCGGCTCCGTCTCGATTTACATGTGTGTACGACCCTCGCATCCAGACCTGGATCGAAATCACGGAGGAGCAGGAGGAGTCTCAGTTTTTTCAAGTTCGTGAACCCGTCACAGGTGAGACGGTCAATGTATCTTTTACCACTTTTGCCGACGACATGACTAGAATCGGGCTTTTGCACGGTGATTCTCAGGCGCAGCTGGCGTCTGACAAGTTGCAGGCCTGGGATGATGGCCTCAAGCAGGTGGTCACGGACACCACCGAGCTTGACCAGAATGGAGATAAAAAAGAGATTTTATTTCGATGCCATGGTCGAGGCTCTGCTGAACAGATGCAGGACTTCTACCATCAGCGTGGCTCTATTAGGTATAAGGGTACGGCTAAACAATGGGTTAGACACTTGGGGGGCTGGCACAATCTAGATGGGTGGACTTACTACGAGACAGATCAGAGATTGACGGCGGCTCGTATTGGGTGGTGTGCTCTGGGACGTTTTTGGACTTCCAAGGCTAGGAGGAGGATCAAACGCTTGGTTTATCAGAGTATGGTACGTGGGGCTATGCTTTCTGGGGGAGAGGCTCGGCTTTGGACTCGCAAGGATTTCGATGTGCTAGATCGTTTTGATCAGTCCCATCTACGAGTTTTACTCCAGGGTGCTAGTTGTGAACGCGAGGAGATGGGAGGAGGGGTGGAGCGAGTACGTACCTGGACTAATGAACGAGTTAGGGAAGAACTTCGTTTGCCCACTTTGGAGAGTACTGTGCGTTTTAGACGGTTGCAATGGCTCTGGAAGATTGCCCAGGAGCCCCAGAACAACCTTTGTTTGCTGGCAGCGCTGACGGGTGCTCTCGGCGGCGAGGATCGCGGCCAGCTTACCTCATCAGGTCGCCCGCGCCACGGTTGTAATCCATATCTTCGTGAATTTTGTCACGACCTTGATGTTCAGGATCGAGTGCAGCCTCGCGTGCGCGAGGTGCTCCAGGAGAAAGGTTGGTTTGCTCTCTTTCTGCCAGAGAACACATCACTCCTTCGCCCCGATCGTGATCTTCTATGTTATATACGACCGCATGAACATGATAGGTTACACAATCCACCAGCTCTTCAAAATCGTAGTTTCGGAGATTTTCCGTGTGATGGCGTTTTCGACGACGGCGCGGTATGTACCCAGGTATTTCAATCCCGACGGGCCCTTCAATGTCATAAACGACGAGCTCATCAGATCTTCGTGCCGCATCGGATCGCAGTGTTTTCAAATCAATGCAGTTGGTGTCTCAGAACGTTCAGTTCGCTCGACTCGCTTCGTCATCATGTCGAAGTCCGCGTTGAACGCCATGAATGTCCCAAACAACGTGGGGGAAGTGCTTCAGCAGGTCTCGCGGGGCTCCAGCAACCAGCGTCGCTCGTGTGCCCCTTTGGGGAATATGAGGCCTCCAGTGTCCCTCTACTCCACGAACACGTTCGTAAGCATTTTGTGGTTCGAGCTGATCGTGAGGTTTTTCAAACTCTTCCTGAGTGTGACGCCCCCGTCGTACCTGCCCTCGCCGATCTACCAGATGGATCAGCTCCAGAGGCGCCTGGGTCAGGGCGCCGCGGGGCAACCGGCAGCCGGCGACGGTCGCGCAGCCGCGAGGCGCGCGGTCGGAGGCAACTTCGACGAGGAGTATCGGTCCTTGGTGGTGAACACGGCGAAGACCGTCGTGGGGCTCGACCTGATGTCTCGTCGGTTCGCGGGATGTCTTACCCTCGTGGCTCTGGTGAAGGGTACGCACGCGCAGCTGACCGCCATGCGAGAAGCGGGTGTGACCTACGAGGAAGCGAAGACGCAGTACAAGCAAGCGGGGAATCAAAAACAGCTGGCAGAGCTCAAGTGGGCGCATCTCCACGTGTGGGTCGGCCTGTGCATGTCGATCGTGAACGACGCGACGATCCCCGCGGAGGCGAAGACGAGCGTGATGGCCCACTCCAAAGCCGTGAAAGGTGTGGGAGACATCGAGGACAAAGTTATTGTATGTTACCAGAAGAAGGCCTTCCGCCAGGCCAACTGGCAGGAGGACATGTATCGCATCGAGCTCTTCACGACTCCCGAGCTTCGAGCAGAGTCGCTCGAGATCCAGACGTGCATCCTGAGGGCGGCAGGCAGCATCAAAAAAGCAGGCAGCCCACCCAAAGGCCCCAACGTGCGAAAAGTCATTCAGAGCTTGGTGAATCTGGGGGAGTACCAGGCGCAGCCCGCCGAGAGGGGGTGACGCGAGGAAGAGAGAGGCCACCTTCTGAGCGCTTTCGCGCGAGCTCCGCAGGCGGTGTAGAAACTCCAGGTTTCTTTTTTTCTCGGGCCTCCCCTCCTCCTCCTCCTCCTGAGACCTCTCTCGCTTCTGAGCCCAGGGAGGTTTCCGTGGTCCGAGTGCTCTCGGAGTCTGGGCAGTATCGTTTTTTGCGGGCTATCTAGGCTAGTCACTGGCGTGAGCGGCGCCTTGAAGTCAGTCTTCGAGGGCCTCGAGTACCTTTCCCCTCCTGGAGCTTCTTGGCCCTATAGGAGGGGCTGTACTCAGGGGGCCAGTGCCATAGAGTGCCGAATCCATTGATTGTGCTCTTGCTCGTGTGGTGAGTTAAGACACAGTTGTTCTTTTGGCCGAGAAGGGTAAATGCCCACAGACCCGAGTTCCAGGTTTTCAGCGTTCCACTGCCTTGACCTTCTGCTGGCCAGGGAGCTCACAAGGGGGATGAATGAATGAATGAATCATCATCATCATCATCATCATCATCATCATCATCATCATCGTCCACCTCCTCCTCCTCCTCCTCCTCCTCCTCCCCGTCCTCCTCCCCGTCCTCCTCCCCGTCCTCCTCCTCCTCGTCCTCCTCCTCCTCCTCCCTACCTCCTCCCTACCTCCTCCTCCTCCTCCTCCTCCTCCGCAGTCCTTCCTTTCCGCCTCCTCCCCCACCTCCTCAGCACCCCCGCGGGCAGGCCCGGGAGCGGCCTGAGTGTCCCCAGCTGCCGCGGCGCGCCCTCGCAGCGGCCCGTGCCCTCCTCGCCGCATTTCAAGTAGTGGCGAAGCGTCCTGGCGTGCCTATCGGCCTACCAAACACTGTTCTAAGAACTTTTTTTGGTGGCTGCCACGAAATATTCTTAGAACATGTTTGGCCGGGACTGCTTTGTTTTGTCACATCGGGTCTATGTTCTAGGAACGTTGTTTTGGTTATTAGGACATTGTTGGGTTCTAAGAACATTTCGTGGTAGGTCTACAGGATTGCCGGGGCGGTCGGTCCCTACTCAAGTATTGTTTCTTGAAGCGTAATTTAAATGTTGTTGGCCGTCAATCAAGAATGTGATTGAACCCCCATCCCACCAACAGCGGGCCACCTCTAACGAGGAAGTCTTCCGGCCGAGCGGAAGAGGGGGGCCACACCTCCAGGGGAGGACCTCGCCCAGCTCCTCGGGGTGGTGGTGGTGTCTCTCTCTCTCTCTCTCTCCCTATTGCTCCTCGCTCCCTCCTCCCCTTTTGCTCCTCGCTCCCTCCTCCCACCACGCCTCCCTCCCCCCCGGGCCTCGTGCTGCAGGTGGGTCGCCCTGCAGGTTTCCGTGCTGTCCGCCTACGTCGCCGACACTTTCTGCGAGTTTCCCAGGGGCCTGAAGACGTCTGGCAGCACGGAGCTGACGGCCGCGCGGGGCCTCAACAGTCGCCATCGAGAAAACCGAGGTTACACCCAGTGGCGCGAAGATAATCTTAAGTCGTGCTTGTCCCTTTACAGGAGGAGAATTCAAAAACGGTTAAAACATAATATGGGAACGATTATTCGATCATGTCTTGACCATGCTTGCATCTTTTTGGACAGTGTGTAATTTAAATCGGCCTGTAGGAAGACCTGCCCTATCCAAAGATAATCGCGCTTCGCGCGTCGCGACCTGGTCCGCCGAGCGGCCCTCTTCTGGCGGGGCTTCGCGAGGGCGCGAAGATAGTCACGCGACGAGGGGTGTGGCGCGATGCGCGAAGCTAGGTTTAAGTTGGGCCTGTCCTCCACAGGGGGAAGATTCAAAAATAGTAAGATAGTCTGCGGACGATGTTTGACTATTTTTGACCATCTTAAGGTTGTTTTTTTGTATGTTTGCGTTTCATCCAAAATCCTACTGTAGGAGGACATGCCCGACCTAAAGTGACCTGGCAAATGGGTCCCTGGGACAATTTTCGAAGAAGAAACTGCCATAAACATAAACTGTTGGCGCTCCGCGCGGATTTCTTGGATCCGCGCTGGGCCCTCCCCCGGCGGCGCCTCGCCGCCCCCGGCGCGCTCCGCGCGCCAGGGAGGGGGGCCCAGCTCGAATCCGAGAAATCCGCGCGGAGCGCCAAATGTTTGTATTCATGTGGTTTTTTCTTCTAGTCGACGGGCGCGGGACGCGATGCGCGAAGCTAGGTGACCTGGCAAATGGGCCCATGGGACAATCAGAAAGCGACTCGGGCTGACGAGTTGGTTCGGGGGGACGGCCCCGGGGGTTGAGGACCCTTGTCCATCAGGGCCCTCAGGACCTGCCCCCCTAACACCAAGGGGAAGGAGGGACGATGAGCCAAGACTAGCAAGTTGGCGCAGGGTCTCTTTTCCGGTCGCAGACTTCCCAGAGTCGTCTCCGCCCCCTCAGGTGGCACTCTTCCCAGGCAGGAAGCGGCATTTTCCCCCACTTTTTTCCCCGGGGATCATCGATGTCAATGGACGTGGCAGCAATCATCTCGTCGAGCTTGGCCAGCGCCGCGTTGACCTGGGCCGCCTGCGGATCGTGGTCTCGCGAGGAACTCTTTATACATTTGCCGTTGATCTCGCTGTCAGATTGCGCAGGATCTTCACGTTCTCGTCGAGCGTGCCCTGGGCCTTGGCGACTGCTCAGCGCCCTCGCTCTTGCTTCGCGGACCCCTTCAGAGAGCAGCTGCTCTGTTACCGCTGCTGCTGCCCCTCCCCCTCCAGCGCCCGCTGCGCCTGCTCCGCGTCCCCCCAGCGTCGATGCAGAAGAAGCGGACGCCCGCGAGCTCCTCGGAGCCTTTGAGGAGGAAGGGGCCGCCGTTGAGTCGTTGTCGTGGGATGGGGGTGAAGGGAATGTGGCCGCTCCTGCGAGGAGCAGTGTCCCGTTTGCGGGGGTGGAACCCTCGCCCGCGACCCCCCTCTCCCGTGGGGGAGTCTGTTGCCCAGGGTCCCTCCTCCCTCGGGTCTCTGTGGGCTCCCCACCCGGGGGTTGTTTCCTCTAGCCTTGCTGTGCTCGCAGGCGTTCTTTCCAAGCTGCTTAACCGCCTGCGCGAGGAGAGCGCTGTCATTCTTTGCTTCCGTGGGGGGGTACCGCATTCCCCCCATCTCCCCTCTTCGCGTTCGACTGTGGTGAACGGCCTTCTTGGCTTAGATGCGTGATTCCGAGGAGTCACTGAGGTGACGCGCGTGGCTTTTCGATGAACTCTCCACAGCCCTTTCTGTCGATCAGAGCCGCCCTGACCCGTGACAACGCCAGACCACTGGAGGTCGTGTCCTGCGCCGACTATGGCAGTTGTTATAATCATTGATGCGAAGGTGAAAAAATTCTAATGCATTTGCCCTTAGCAGAGTCGGCCAGGGCGATCTGCTGGTCATCGTCCGATGGTCTGAAAATGCCCATGTTCATTTCGGTCTGAGCCTCCGCCTCGTTCCATTCCGCCTCAGTCTGCTTCCCGTCGGCGTTTGGGGCGGGTTTGGCGCGAGACTCCTCGTCACCTTCCCGTGCTCAGGGTTCGTCGAATTCGCCCTCGGTCCGTTCGTCAGATGGATAAAGATACGGCGCGCCGCCGGCTTTTTTGCTCGCGAGCGCCAGCTGGGTTCGGGAAGGCGCCGGCGCCGCCGACTCTGCACCCTCCAAAGGAGCGGGCGTTCGAACCCGAAGCAGCACCCGACCGCCGGCAGAGGCCGAATGGGCACGATGCATAACGAAAACAAATCCGCAAGGGCTTCGCCCCCTGCCGCCGGCCCCCTTGTCCCGGATGATGGATCATGCAAGAGCTACGTCGTGTGGTCTGGGCGCCGTCTTGAAGCAGCGTCGGAAACTCATGCGCGGAGGATCAGTAATCGGCAAGACAGAAGTACATCCAGATGAGATTGTTGATGTTGGACTTGCCCCCGCATGCTGTGCATTGGAGGCCCTTTTGGAAAGACTGGAGGTTGCATGAGGCTAGCGTGGGCAAAATCGCGCGGCTGGAGCGGTCTTCGGGCTCCTCGGCGTCTGCTGTAAGGGGCGGCCTCGTGGGCGCGATCGCGCCGTAATTTACCAGGAATTCTGGTCTCGGGGGCGCGAGTCTTGTGGAAGTTTCAGAGGGCTGATGACCTCGGCGACGCACATGCTGTGTAAATTACAACGGTTTGTTGTCTCGGGGACGCGAATGCGGCGCAGGTTGCGAAGGCTTCTGGCCTCGGGGAGCAGATTGCGGATTAATTTTCAAGGGTGCGCATCTTTGGGCACGCGAGCGCTGCGTAACTTACAAGGGGCGGTGGCTTCGGGTACGCAAGCACTAAATATTTGTACACAGGTTTATGGCCTCGGGAACGCGAATATTCTGGAATCAACGAGGGTTTATGGCCTCGGGCAAGCAATTCTCGCAGAATGCACGAGGGCCCATGGCCTAGGGGGGCGCATTTATTGCGCCATTTACAAAAAGTGCACGGCCCCTGGGACGCGAATGCGGTATACGTTATAATGGTTCACGGCCTCGGGGGCGTGACTATCGCGCAAATCACGAGGAGGCATGGCCTCGGGGACGCGAATATCATATGATATGCGAAAGTTCACGGCTTCGGGGGCGCAAGCGTTGCAAACGCTACGGAAGGTCGTGGCCCCGTTGGCGTAATTTGCGAAGGATCGCGGTCTCGGGCGCGAATTCCAAGTGTTGCCGCGCGCCCCGGGCCGCCTTGGAAAGTTTGAACACCTTTTCGAAACCTTTTTTCCGGGGGCGGTGGCCGAGCGGCTTTCGCCCCCCCCCCCCCCCCCCCCCCCTCGCGCGGGCAGCAACAATTTACAATGGGAAGCAGCAAGCAGGATTGAAACATTGGAGGCTGGAAACTGGAACTGGCGCAGCGGGGGGGGGGGGGCGAATCCGCGCCGCCCGATGGCCCCGCGAGGGGGCCCGCGTCTTGTCAGGCGCGCTCGGACCTGCAAGCCTGCAGGACAGGGCGCGCGCGCGCGCAGACCTGCGGGTCAGCAGGTCCGTGCACCCTCTTTCTCTCGCGCTCGCCCTCGCCAGCCCGGGGCGCCCCCCGACCCCGGGGCTAGCTCGGGGGTTGATTTGGACGGCTGGGCGACCTCGCGGGCGCCCTCGTCGCCCGCCCCAGCAGGCCCCGCGCCACCTTTCCCAGCGCCGCCCGGGGCAATTGCGCGGGCGCCCCCCACTGCCAGCAACGCCAGGCCCACTGCAGCTGGTCGCCCATGCCCTGCTAGCGCGAACTTTCGGCGCCCTCTCTCCAGCCTGCCCAGCCGAGTGAGTGAACTCAAGCCCGCTCTGCGCCGTCGTCGCAGGGGGGCCTGGCGCGGCCGCCTCCGCTCCCGCGCGAGCGCAGACAGTGACAGGGTCCCTCTTCTCGGGCGAGGCAGCCTTCTCCAAAGGGCCCCCCGACTACGCGCTGCCAGATGCGCCGCCATTTTGATCGCGTTCTCGATGTTCGCCCGGCCCTGGTCGCCGAGGTCGAGGCTGCTCGGCGGGGGCGCGATCGCCCGGCAGCGATCGAAACGTCGCGCGGAGAACGACCAACCCCCTCCGACTTCGCGCCCCCAGGTCGCCCTCGAGCCTCTTCGCGCAGCTCTTAGATGATTGTCGGCCGAGGCCGAACTGGACACAACCTGGACAGCCACATGTTCCGGCGAGGCGCTGCCCCGTCGTGAACATTTTGCATCCAGGAATGGCGCGCGCAGCTCAATCCAGCGATCGCGCGACTGAGGCGCCGCGCTCGCATCGTCAAATCAAGTGGCCGCCGCATGAGATCGGCCCTCATTGCGCCGAAGCCATGCTGCGCTTGCCCCCGCCACGGCGCGGCAGGGGGGGGGCCCGCGTCAATTGGGCCCCTTTCTATTCGCGCCCCCGCGCCCCGCCTCGCCGTCTTCCGGTCTGTCCGAACCCCGCGAGAAAATTGCGGGGGCCCCAGTCGGCCTTGGGATCTGCGGGGCGGTCGGCGTCGCCGCCAAGCTTGGCCGCGGCCCATGGGGCGCGCCCCGCGGAAGGGGGCGCCCCGGGGGCGAGGGGGCCGAGAGGGAGCTGCCCGAGCAAAGGTTCGGCCGATCCGCGGGGCGCCGGGGGGCCTGGCCGCGCCGTCTGGCCCGGCGCCCGCGCGGCGTCGCGGGGGCGCCTGTCAGGTCGAAGCGGTTGAGGACGAGCGCGCGAGACCGACCCGCTCTGAGAGCCAATTGTCGATGTCCCCCCAGTTGCGGAGCGCGCGAGGCCGCGGCCCATGGCAAATGCGGCGCCGCGGCCCATGGCAAATGCGGCCCGAAGTGCGCCGTCGCCGAGGGGGGCTGAATCAGGCGGCGATGGCAACCGCAGAATTGCCCATGGGAGTGACAGGTTGGCCATTGTGATAAAGGAGTTGCTTGGGTGGGGCGCTGGGCCGGGAACTGCGGGCGCCCGCGCAATTGCGCCGAGCGCGAGAAGAATGGGGGGGGGGCCCTGGGGCGCCGAGCTGGGCAGGCCCATCGACGGCGAAGGCGCGACATGCGACGGGGGGCGAAGAAGACGAGTCGGGTGGGCCAAGTTTGCGCGGATGGCGTTGCCGCCCACCCGAATCTCTCAGAGCGCAGGCGAAGTGGATGGGCCGCGGCGGGCGCCGCAACTGCAATGCAGCGGCGCGCGCAGATCATGCGCCCCGCAGCATGAAAACCAAGGGGGCGCCCAGGAGATGCGCGCCCGCGGCGGCGCCGAGGTTTGTCGGCGATTTGTTTCTTCCAGGATCGCCTCGGGATTGCGAATGTCGGCGCGCCTCCGTCGGAGGCGAGGGGGGGGGCGTCGCGCCGTCGGGCCTGGGGGCGATCAGACAGCCCCGTGACTGTAGGCACGTGCTGGCGAGCGCTCTATGGCCCGATCGCGACCCCCCAAAAGTGCGTTGATTTTTCATCAGCGGCGGCGGGGCGCGCGGTCTCCAGGGGGATTGATCTGGCCAGTCTGAGGAAGCCAAATCGAGAGCGGCCCAGCAAGCGGCGATCGAGTTGGCCATGGACCAGCGGCACCCAAATATAGAACTCTACGCGGGAGCGGGGTAGGCCGTTGGATCCCCTGCGCGGCGAGGGGGCGTGCGCGCATTTGTTCATTATTCCCCTGCGTTGTGATGGGAGGTGTTCGCTGGCTTATTCTTCTCCTGCGCGGCGAGGGGGTGGGGCATTTGCTTTGCGCTGCTGGCGTGGCCCCGCCCCTCGGCGCGCCAGCCCCCGCATGCGGCGGGGCCCCCTCTGCGCCGCGTGCGCTAGCGGCAGGCGTGGCTCCGCTCATCGGGTCGCCATGCTTGAGGATGACACATTGCTGGCGCGGCCCTGCTCTTCCGGGCGCCGGCGCCTGGAGCGGCCCCGCACTTCGGGCATCCAAGCGAGTCGCGGCAGGCCGAGGCCCGCCGCTGTAGCGGCCGCGCGCGGCAGCGACCGCCTGCCGGAGGCCCGAGGTAGCCCGCCAAGAGGCCCTAGTGCATCGAGCGGAGTAGGTCTTGGCTGATTCCACCCAGGTAGCGCGCTCCCTCCTCCTCCCTCCTCTTCTTCCTATTCCTCCTTTTGCGCATGTGGCCGGGCCGTGGGCTCCTGGCAGGCGGGCCGGGTCGGGCTGGGCCCTTTTCCCCCCCCTCGGGGTGGCTCCCTCTCCCCCTTCCTGTCACCGTCCCGTGCCTGTGGGGTACGTCGACCAAGCAGTGTAGTGGGGATCGGACGAGCTCAAGGCAGGTGCTCCGTGCCTGGCCCCCCCCCACGTTTCGGGGAGTCTCTGAGTTGCCTCTGCTGTTTCGCTCTGGCCAAGGCTCTGGGCGGGGGTGTTGGCTGGAGCTGTGAGGTCCTCCGGAGGCTGGTGGGTTTTCCTGAGTGGGGGCTGCGCCCCCCCCCCCAGGCGCTTTGGCGCCGCTCCCCGGGCTCGTGTTGAGCGCAAGGGGGGGTCCAACGCCGACCCAAGAATTCCGCCTAGGCCCCCGAAAAAAATTAAAACTTTCGCCGACCCTCCCCCCGTCCCCTCCAGTGCTGGCGCTTTGTCTTCCAGAGCCGTCGCAGCAAGGTCGCTTCCGAACCCTCTCTGGGTCGTGGCTCACTGCTAGAAGGAAGCGCCGTCCGACGCCTCCGCCGCCAGCTCAAAGGGGGCACGCCTACCTACCTACCCCCCCTCCTCCCCTCCTCCTCCTCTCCTCCTCCTCCTCCTCCTCCTCCTCCTCTTCTCCTCCTCCTCCTCCTCCTCCTCCTCCTCCTAATCCCCCTCCTCATTCTCATCCTCCTCATCCTGTTCCTCTTCCTCCCTTTTCCTCCTCTTCCCCCTCCCCCCCCCAGGCCCAGAAAAGACGCGCAACGCACCCGCGGTCTTTCAAGTGAGAAAGCTGCGTTCCCAGACCTCCGACGTCGTGTCTGTTGTATGCGCGTGCAGTTCGGGCCTCGGTGCCCCGCCCAGGGGATTGGTTTTTCAGCGCCGTGGGCCGTTTTGAGGCCCCAGAGGGGGCCCGATGCAGGTGTTCTAGGCCTCCTATATGGAGTCGGAGTACATGGGGTCGGAGGGCCGCGCCGCATCGCCGATGCATCGCCGATGCGGCTCGATGTCGAGCCCCATTTGCTTCGCGTCGACGTCGCCGATGTATCGCTGACGTCGACGATAAATCGCCGATGCATCGGCGATGTATCGGCGATGCCGCGCGATCCTCCGACCCCGTCCACTCCTGCCCCATCCAGGAAGCCTCTAGGTGTCCGGAGGCCGACATGTAACGGAAAACAAAAGAAACGCGCCGTCTCGCAACACCAGGGGACACGAACGCGGTGTGACCGCGCAAATATCCCCACCAGCCCCTCCAGATGCAGTGCCCAGGGGAGTTGCTGGAGAAAGAAAGGAGAGAGGCACAATGTGAACCAAAGAAACCACTTTAGTGAATCGAGACATTCGGGGAGCCTCTTAGTATAATCTTGGAATTATCTTGGGGCTCTCTGGCAGGGATTCGGGGCCCGCGTCAGGCTATCTTGAAGGATGCCGGTGAAACAAAGGCTGACACATACTTGACAACCCGCCTCCCGTCGGAGCCACCAAAGTTGCCTCGCGGGGCCATTTTAGGACGCTCTTGGGTCGCCCCTGGGGGTTTTTGGACCGTATCGCAAATGTTATAAACCCCTCCTGGGGCTCTCTTGGGCGGTTTTGCAACCGTCTTGAGGCCTCAGAAGAACATCGTTGTGAGGAGGTGGGGTTGCAACAATCATTGAACAGTCTTAGGTTGTTGAAAAATGTTGGCCTCTAGGGGGTGGGGTCTTCTAGGGAGGCTCCGTTGTCATTCGATCAGTTTTGGAGCCTCTGTGCCGTGTTTGAGGCCACCCCTTTCCCGAAGGGTGAGAAAGGGGTTGGAACAGGACACCTTCTAAACCACCTCCGCTCAGAAGGCTGGTGGGATTCTGCAGGGAACCGTCGCGCTGAACAGTCAGGGGCAGAGGAAGGTGACGACAGTTGCGAGCCTACCAGCACGCAGGGACCGGGAGGGCTGATTGAGATATGCGTATTTCCGCACTCCGCTGGTCACCCCAGGGACGCAAGAAAGTGGCGACAGTTGCGCGCCTGGCTGCGCCCATGGAGGAGGATGTCTCGCGTGGGTCTGCGTTAAGCGCCATTCCCCTGGAACTCCAAAGGGCGCAGGAAAGTGGCGACAGTTGCACACGTGGCAGCACCAGGGGGGGAGGTCCCACTTGGATCTGAATGCTCTCCCCGTCCCGCTCAAACCCCAGGAGCGCCGACTAAAGTTGCAATCGTCTTGCGACTGGCAGCGCCCAGGGATGGCGGGGCCTCTTTTGCATTTGCGTGTCCCCCCCGCAACTCCGCAGGACCCCCACGGAGGGGCGCAGGCAGGGCGACGGTTGCGGCGCCCAGGCAGGCGAGAGGTCTCCTTCTGGTCTGCCCCCCCTCCGCTGGACGTCCCATGGGCTCGGGAAAGCGGCGGCCGTTGCACGCCTAGCAGCAGCGCCTGGCAGCGCCCAGGAGAGGCGGGTTTCTCGTTCGGACTCGCGCGTTCCCGCATTCCACTGGACTCCGAGCGCCGAACAACGCTCGGGAGAGGCAGGGCTCTCTCACTTGGACCTGCGTTTCCTCCCCTACCCCACTAGACCGTGCAGCCCTCGGGAGATCGGGAGCGGCCAAGAGGGGGGTGATGACTGGGGGGGGGATATCATGGCGGGGGCCATGATATCTGCCCAGATGTCATGGCGCCCCTTCTTTTTCTAAAACGTCCCAGGCCCCCCCCCCTGGGCCGCGCACGTGCCGCTGGCAATGATTTGCGCCCCCCCTCTCTTGGACGCCCCCCTCTTGGACGCCCCCGAGGAGAGGCGGGGTTCCGATTTGGGCTTTGGCGTTCCCCCCTCAGCGGGCACGGACCGCCTGGACGTTCCCCCCTTTCGCCTCTTTCGCGTTCCCCCCTCTCGAGGCTCCGCTGGACCGCCTCTTTCGCGTTCCAACCTTTCGCGTTCCCCCCCCTCCCGCTCCGCTGGACCGCCCCCCCCCCTCCCAGCGGGCGCGGGAGAGCGGCGGCGGCGGCGACGCCCCGGCAGCGCCCGAAGCTGGGGGGCGAGCGACAGGGGCCCGCCTCCCGCGGCGCCCGTATGGGGTGCGAGGGAGCAGGAGGGGGTAACACTATCGGGTGTTGCTGGAAGTCCTCCTGGCCCAAGGTACCCCTATAGGATTCTCGGGGTGGCCCAGACGGCTTCCAGGGCACCCCTCACGAGGCCCAGAGGGCCCCAGGGGCTTCAAATTGGAGCAGAAAGCTGCGGGCACCTTGGGCCAGGGGCACTTGTAGCAACACCCGACAATACTGGGGGAAGCGACTAGTCTAGGCCATCTATCAGGCGATCGCAAACATGGATCAAGGGGGCGTGGATTAGCGACGGGTCCCGTTTTCATGAGAAATCCCGGATTTCCGCCGCCGAGCGAGGCGGCGCCGGTCGCAGTTTGGGGAGGGCGCCTCCCTCGATCCATGGATTTGGCGGCCGCTCGCCAAATCCATGGATCGCTAATCCATGTTTGCACGCCCCCGATCCCAGGTGGGGTCCGAATAGATGGAGTCGGAGGATCGCGCCGCATCGCCGATGCATCGGCGATGCGGCTCGATGTGGAGCCCGATTTCCACGCCAGCGGCGCCGATGCATCGCCGATGTCGCCAATGCACCGCCGATGTATCGGCGATGCGGCGCGATCCGCCGACCCATCTACTCCGACACCATCTAGGAGGCCTCTAACTAGAGACGCAGGAAATGCGGAGGAGCAAGGAGGGAGGAAGGGAGGGGCGAGCGGCAAGTGCCCTAGTCGAGACGAGGACCAACACAGGAGGATAAGAGGTAACTGAAATTCCTCGACCAAGGTCGGTCTCGTGTCCTGCACCTGGCTCGTGCTGGCCGCGGCCCTCACCATCAGCGTCAACTGGGCTCTGTGCATGCAGTACTATCGCACATGGCAGAGCCGCAACGGCACCTTCACCCTGCAGGTGTCGGGAAACCAGGCGAGCGGTGACGTGTTCGGAGGTATCTGGCAGTTTATGGCGCTTGGCAGGGGTGTGCCAAGTTGTCCGGGGGGTCCGAAGGTTCCCAGCCCGTTTCATGTGGTTGTTTCCCAGAGTTTTGGGAGTTCGGCCGAGATTTCTGGGGGAGGGGGGAGGGGAGGAGGAGGAGGAGGAGGAGGAGGAGGAGGAGGAGGAGGAGGAGGAGGAGGAGGAGGAGGAGGAGGAGGAGGGAGGAGGAGGAGGAGGAGGAGGGAGAGGCCCAGTGTAAACCCAAGAGTCATCAACGATGTTGGAATAAACCCTCCCTCCAAGCTCCCTCTTCATATGCCCGGACAAAGGTTCATTTCCATTGAGGGAACTGGTTCGTTGGAAGACAACCGTTTGAAGACCCTGAAGCATGCCAAAGCATTGTTCTCGGGATTCCAACGCCCCGGATCAACCTGACTGTTGCGCTTAGACGATCCTGAATCGTGCCAGAACGCCATTCTCGGGATTTCAACACCGCGAACGAACGTAACAGTTGCATCCTCAGAATCCCGATACAGGCTTACGGTGTGGACTTAACATGTTCGGGAGCCTTTGGGGTGGTGGGCGGAGTGTGAATCTTGGATGTGCAGGCGCGTTAATCCGATTATGGGTGACGGAGCGTCGAGACCACATGCCTTCACAGTGGGCTGGGTCCGACTCACGAAACCGATTTTCCGTTTCCCAGAGATCCGTTTCGGGACCTAACAGGCCTGCATGCTACAGCTAACTCTCCAGACCGATTGTGGCCCAAGTCGCACTGTCAAATTCCCCGCCCACCCACCCTTAGGGTTCTCTGGGGGCCTCTTTCCCGTGCCCCCGCTCCTGCCGTTGGTTGTTGCCACTAGTACTTCGCGACGGCGCGATACGGACCGTCTCAAGCGCATCATCGTAAAAAGACAACTCGGGCAGGCGGGTGGGATTATTTCTCCAATGCATGTTCTCACATATACATACACATATGGACAAAGAAGTCTTATAAGTTGTTTGAGGAGATTTGTCATGGGCAATTTTCCAACGGCTCCAGAGACAGGGAACGGTTTCTGGGGGTGGTCGCGAAGAGGGGATAGGGGCAGACCTGGAAAACATGACATGACACGTACCGAACAGTTGTGTTTTCTAACACGCCCTTGCGTGCATATGGCACGGAGGCGGTATGTTTCAGGAGGGCGTCGGGGAGGATTTTGAGGATTTCCGTCAGCACTAAATAATTGATAGAGGGTTGATCTTAGCTTTTGGGAAAAAGGTCGCGCGAGATACGATCTAAGTTGTCGCGCCTAGGTGATTAAGTGGGGACGGTGCGGATTACCTAAGCCCCCTTACCTGAGCTTGATCGAAGAAGCCGCATGAACGGCAGAACCACAACCCATGGTCGCTGTGGCAGAACAAGGCGCGTGAGGGATGCGTCCAACCCCCTAGAGCCCGTTTCTTTATTGCTTAGGGCATGACGGGCGTCATGGCACCCGCCCCCCCCCCAATGACGGAACGCTCCCCCCCCCTCCAGCGCGCTCCGGGCATTGCCCTCCAGCGCGCTCCGAGCAGTGCCGCTGTGCGCATTGGGATCCGCGTAGGTCTCCGCGTCGGAATCCGCGCACTAAATGAGCCCTACGCTCGATATGAGGGATCTTGATCCCGTCGGCCTCTGACACCCTCGCCTTGTTAGTGGCGTCTCCTGCTAGAATTTCCACACACACTCGTTCCTTTGGGTCAGCCAACTTGGCCATCCTTGGGCCACGACCTCATGTCATGACCAGACAAATGACAGGCCCCAACGCGTCCGAGCACCTCGATTCCCGACAGCCGAGCAGGAACGAGGAACGACGACGACGGCAACGACGACGACAACAACGACGACGACGAAGACGACGACGAAGACGAAGACGACGACGATGACGACGACGACGACGACGACGACGACGACGACGACGACGACGACGACGACGACAACGGCAGCGACGGTGGCGGCGCCGGCGCCGGCAGGCGCTGGTGGCGGGCGGCACACAGGCGAGCGACGGCGCCACGGGCCCCTAG